CTGTTACGTAAACTTTGGATAATTCCAAGAAGTTATGGCCGGCCCGTAGCACAATGAGGGCTTACATCTCTTAATCTTAAGCGAAAAAATTCGGGCATGCTCTTTTACATAAAGGTGATATCTTCCCATCATTTCTGTTTCAAGTGATGGTCAACTTATATTACAGCAAATGAATTCGCCTCGCTATGGTTCCATTTGGTGGCTTTTCTTATGCCTGATTATGAACTTCAAAGACCTGTATGGTACAGGCCTAAAGAAAAGGAGTGATGGTAATGATAAATTTGTTAGCTATAAGCTACATTCTAAAAATGTATACTGACAACAAAGTATAAAAGTAGAGAATCTTAGATAAATTCAAAAATTTCGAAGGTTCGATCATTTCAAACACCTCTACATTTTTTTGGATAAGCAGCTGTTAGAACACGATTCTTTAGCATGAAAAAAGCTATCAAAAACGAGATTACCAACATATGAGCAACAACATAACTTGTCGTCAAACTATTTAAATGTACAGGAACAGATATAGTTATATATTTATAAAGCTCACCGTCTTCGATATCTTGGCCTGACTTTTTTTTTTACGGGAAATGGACCCACAGCCCAATCTGATGAATTAAAATCTTAAAGGTAAAGTCGACATACGTTTTGCCATAATTATTCCCAAACGTATTCACCGAATTTTCACTATTATAACTCAGTTCGATAGCCCTTCTGCTCTTTATGACTAACCAAGAAGCAATGATAAGGCATATGTTAGGTTCGTTTTGTGGTGTACTAACGGGCATAGCACCCGATTGGGTTAGCATATTTATTGTTCGGCTATTATTTGCACCCTAGATAACCAGGCTATAATGATTTCCATATGAGATATCATAAAACCCCTATGAAAATAGAAAACTGAGAACACTTTTCAAGATCTTAAAGTATTCGAAGGTACTCCATAGTTTCTACTGTCGTAAAAATACTGAAAGTATATAGCAAATTTTGTAAAAATTGTTGGCACATAATTGGCTAACATGTGAATGAGGGCCAAAAAGTACATTTGCAGAGCATTTTTCTGCAAGTTCCTTATTATAAACAAAGTGTTTGGCGTATTTTTGCAACTTAAAATAGAATAAAAGTAACGTAAACTATTCGGTATACGGTGCTATTATTTGGAGAAAATGGCTCTAAATGTCTGTCAAGGAAGCCTGCGTTACATTAAAGCTTCGAATATGAACGGCATTTTGAGTTTTATCACCGGTATTGCAGCAAGCATTGCTTCAGACGGCTGGATCTTAGCGCACGTCAACGTATTTTTACGGGCGGCTTCGAATCTAAATAACTTCATGGTCAAGTTTAACGCGCCAACACGAGCTTTGCGCACGTCTATCTCCGTATTACTTTCAGTTTAACGCCAGTACCTTTCAATCGGTAACACACATTAGATAGAACGACTATTGTAATATAATTATAATGATTTATTATAAAGCTTCGAGACTTCTACCAGTAAACTTCGAACCTTATCGGCTACAGAAGGCACCAAAGTAAAGGAACGAAGTAATTTATTATCATATTTTAGTCATCATATCGCAGTAGAAACACAAATGAAACGCGTACGGCAACAAAAGAGATCAATAGACTCCACTGATTTCGAATTGAAGATACATAAAAATTGTGCCGTACTTCAGCATTGTTTCCGTTCTTGATTCATGAAGTCTTTCGATTCTCCTATTCTAGACACTGCATGAAGACTTGTCTTGGAGTGAGTGTTGCTGGAATTGGGATTTATTTTTATTTTATTTATTTATTAATTTGGGATGTATTCAACAGACTTTTGAAACGAGATTATAAAAAATACAAACAACTATTCATCATAACAATAATAAGGTCTTTTCCTTAATTATTTATTTTTCTTTCATTGCTTATTAGTGATAATAGTTAGATTTGGGTCAGCGTGACAGCATACCCAGGCAGAGACGAACATTGTCCACGTCGCTCTTTTCCTATGTAATCAAAACACGCATTAGCGGATTCGAACTTGACTCATTCGAGCCGATAGTGTAAAATGTCTATCAACAATAATCGAACAGATTTCACGATAAACCCTGCGGCGGTAACCGGTAAAACTCATCCATCAGCTACAATCGACTAGGTTTGACTGCATATTTAAAAATAGTGACCTGTAACCCTGTGCTCAGCGCCAGTACAGGTGATAAAACAATCATTTAAAGGCAATTTTATAAGAAGTTTATAGAAGAACAAGGAGGAAGGCTGATACTTAGAAAATCTCTCACTGTTTGCCTACGAACTGTTAGTATTGACAACATCTTTTTTTGCCAAGGAATTCCCTACTATGATGATGATGATGATGATGCAGTGACAACTTTTTGGCCGCAAGAGTCGAAGCGACCTGATGGTTCAGGTTTGAAGTTTAATATAAACGAATTTAGGCTTGTCCCGATAGCCAGCTCCCTAAGGCATTTGCTGAGGGATCAATGAGTGTGTAGCCTAATCTTCTTACGGGCGAAGAGAATTTATGATTTTTTCACTGTCAATATGATTACTTCAAAGTTGTTTGGTACACGTTAGAACAAGTCAGCGTGCATCTTACTACAAACATCTAAGAAATTTCACAATACTTGTACGTTTAGACGTGCTATGACATTTATTCAAATACTTAATCGAATGAAGCTGGTCATAATACTGTTCCTATCGACGAATTTACTAGGTACGGATAATGTATGATTCGTTATACAATATGTGTGTCAATGATGAGCGTTCATTAGGCTGCATACATCCGAGATGGAAAGTAAGGGATGTGTTCTATCGTGTGCAATATCATTATACCGTTAATTAAAAGGACAGTTTCGTTCTAAGGCCTGCTAACTTTGCCTACAGACGTCAAATAACCTACATCACCGAGTGGCCCATTAGGGTTGATGTTAAACAAAATATTGCTCTATCGTTAACGACATCAGATTTTTCACAACTCGCCAATTTACCGTGTTCATTTGTGGCGTGATATACAAGCATGATATCTAAAATATTGCGACTTACAATGTCTTCCATCAACATTGCAGAGCGCATAAACATAATTTCTTTATATAAATTGTGTAATCTATGCGCCTAGGACGCACCGCCTGCTACGGATCCCACGATCGCTACGGAACTTGTAGTTACTCAAACACATCACAAAATGTTACATTTATAACGTTGTTCGCCTATTCCGTTAGTTTACAGAGTGTAATCTGTAAAGTAAAGGATTATGCTTAGCTTCCATAGATGTCCATACGAACATCTATGGAAGCCGTTGCAGAAAGTCGCTAAGAACTGACGGATGTACACTTCATCTCTTCGTTATGATCCTTCATATTAGTCTAACATGTTTTGTGTGGGATGCTTAACTCTTTTGCGAGCTCCTCAGGGGCGATGCTTGTCGTCGCTTTAGATTGACTTGTTTTTTTTTCTGTCTTTTGCCTCGTACTTGCCGCAATACGTGGCCCACGCGGGTCGTAATGGCCTATGTCTGGCATTCTATTATAAAATTACCTCCTCCAGAACATTCAATTAAGCTCTCTCTACCTTGCAACTGTCCGTGAACGTTTGTTTCCCCTAAAGTTCCCATAAAATGTTGCTTAATCACTTAACGAACCTGCCTACCTTAATATGAACGGCACCCTATCGTTATTCGTCTGCTAGAAATATAGATTTAAGCCGGTATTTGAAGGCAGGAAATTATTATCTGAACCATGATAATGCGTTTACTCTTTCATCACTTCGCGTGTCACAGACGTCTTCATACAAGAGTGCATAATTTTCTGCTGTTGTTTACATGTTTGGTATTGTTTGTCTGTTTATGCTGTGGCTGCGTCGAACACCGTTATCATGCTGTTCTTCTTTGATTATGACACAAAGTACAGCTAATCTCAAAAGACTCTAGTTAAATTCTTTCATTTTTTCTGATTTCATGATCAAGCTAAATTCCTCGCCCGTCATAAACCCCTTTCTCTGGCTACGGGTTTCCGTTCAATATATCATATGTAAGGCATTATATTATGTAGTCTACTTTTCAACGGAATTCAACAAGCAAAACTACTACCTATTCGGACTAAAGAATGTGCACGCATAGATCGTATCTACCACCTATCATATCTACGGGTTTCGAGCTCAGAATGCCCAGCTAGGTCTCGTACGACAAGCATAAGGTATCACTCGAAGATATTATTTGGAGTCTGTGCCTTTTGCCTTTCCATGTATCATGTTGAATGTAAACACCTAAGGTAAAAACCTGGGGGAGAAACGAGATCATAGGAGTGAAGCGCCGACATACAGCCAATGCTCCTTCGCGCTTCGCTTTATAATTTTGCGTTGAAACACAACACTTTTCGATATCTTAGCATTTCTTTATCTAAGATGTTTGTGATAACTGCTCGCTTAATAGCTCGTAGCGTGTGTAGTGGCATACGGCGCGTTGTACAAACTGGGCCTATTGTAAACTCTGTACATCAATAATTTCAATATGGCCCTGATCAACAATAAACGCAACGAGATAAGTGAAACGAAAGAACACCAAAAATATTAAGCGGGTTTGGCAAAGATCAATTCAATACATTGAAACAGGCGAGATCTAATCACAGGCGAGACAAACGATCTGCAATATACGACAAGTCATTGTCGTGGCTGGTGTCTTAACGCTATAGCGTTATAACGTAGCGATATAGAAATTGTATCAATGTGACCCTGTTATGAAGGTCCTACAACGCTCGAGGAAATTGTACCTTACACAACATAATATACATATGTAGAATGAAAGTTGAAGGTCTTAGATCGTTCAAAGAAAAATTTTATTTTTCAGCTTCCTTTTAATGGCTCTAACTTATAACACCTATCTATAAATAGACATGTTCTTGAGTTGTTGCTTTAAAGTACATGTCCTATAACGCGCGCTGCATGAAACAACTGCAATCCGAAAAAGAGGTCTGAGCTGTCAGTCCGGCGTAATAAAATTTCTCTTCAGAATTTCCGATCGCCAAAGCCTTATGGGTATAACAACTACTGAATATAGCGGTCGTTCCGCGGTCGCTCAATTTTCCAAGGCCTCAATACTAATACTAATATTTTAACTTAGTTTGTCGAGTTAATTCAAATTTCAGTCAATGTTTATCATTTTTGCTATACATCAGAAACTTTTTTTTTTTTACAGCAACCCCTTTAAATACTGCTGAATCTGATTGGTTTTCCGTGTTGAGACTTGCCCAGGATTTTCTTGCGCTAGAAGCTTTGTTGTCATCACGTGCACTGATGTCGTGCAGAAACTCTTTTATCTTTGCTAGCAATGATATCTATATGGTCAAATAGTTTCCAATAGAACCTGAATGAAGTCGAACCCATTTCAGTGCCTGACTGACATATTCCCCCAGGCGTACGCACGACTTGTGACAGTAGTGCGACTAACATATAAGCAAACATATAACAAATAAGCAAAAAGGAGCCTTTGAGATGACTGGACCGAATTCCCTCGCCAAAGAGGAGTCTGCGGTCCATCGTCTTCTCGCTTGTTGCCTCGGTCCGGAGAGGATTTGTAGTTCAAACATTCTTCATCTTGACAGCGCTGAAAACAATTTCAATAAACGCTGTCAAAATATTTTTTGCATAAGCCTTACATAAATTTCGTTGTTATTGTTATTTAGGCTGTACATTTTGCAGTTCTTCAATCACATGATCTAAACAGTAGAGGAATCGTAAAAATCCACAAGGGGAAGCGACAAATTTCAACCCAAGTAGAAGGTTGAAATAGCTTTCCAATTTGCCTACTACTTAGATACAACAATAGTTGAATTTGACATTAAGGAAAGCAGGCAACATATATCGATGATTATAAAAACTGATGGTTGCACTGTAGATCTGGATTCGAAATCGCGCAAAGGAGTAGACGGCTGCTCACTGCGGCAGATTACGAACTGCGGGTTACTATATGGTTTGGGTAAGTGAAATTTAACCTAGTACCCTTAAGACCTTTCTGTACAATTAAGGGTTGATCACCACATCGACTATACAGAGTGCCTTTATGCAGGGCAGATCTTACATTAAGTGTACACGTACGCACCTTATTTCTTGAACAAATAGTTTATTTCTCTGGAGAGAAATAAACTATTTGTTCGTTGGATGTGCATCGGGGATGGATGAAAGATGTTTTAAGGTAATATTCAGTGCATGAAAAACGAGGTACGTTTTGGACAATCGTGTATATATATTTAGCCTTATAGGACCTTTAGTCTTATAGGTGTCTGAAAGTGGTACCTTGTACGTTATGCTACAATATAGTAACATGAGCAATGGGACTACGGCGCACCAAACTGACCGTATAAAGGCTTTGGAAACAAAGTTCTATATGGTGTCTATCGACTTACAAATATGCGGATCTACGTAAATAGGTCTAATGAACAGGTGGTTTAGAAAAAGACATAGAAGTCTACAAATAGATTATAAATCAATCTGCCTCTACATATGCAATTTTTATTTCATGAAGTACCCACTTATAGTCAGAACGGTAAATGACGATTGTAAGAAATCGAGCAAATAATGTTAATAGGGAAAGTTAATCTCTTTCAAAGTCAACAGAATTTAAAGCAAGGTAAAAGAACAACAGTACTTACCGACAGACCGTGGAACATGCCCCCGTCGTAGTATAATGAATTGCCAGCTAAGGTTAGAATTATGCATTACGAATCTATGCATAGACTTAGTTGGTTTGCCGCTGGGAGCCAGCCGTCTGACGGAATCCTTAACGATGATGCCGGAGGTAAATCTGGAACTTGAGATTGCGCAACATAGCAGGTCAATTCGGAGACTATAAAGCATCTCCACACACTAAAAATAGGACGATCCGAAGCTGTTTTAGCTATTCTACTCCTAACCCTTCTGCTAGCACGGCTGATTTCTTTCAGAGTAGACCGCGCGCACCAGCTTCTCGAAAGTGATTATTTATTAGACTTCATTTCGTCAGAACATTTATTTATCGGACACCACAATAATTGTCGCTTACGGAATACGAAGGGAGAACTTGGTACAGTTCTAATAAACTTAACTCTAAAGAGAGTTCTGCACTTAAGAGAGAGGGAATAGTTTTCTCCTTCCTTTTGATGGTGCATAAAAGTATTCCCCCTGTTTACGATTGAAGAAACCTAATTACTCTATGATTTTTAATATACAAGTTTGATTTGCCGAGAGAATACTCTGATGATATACACGTTTTTATTATTGCAAATAACATATAAGACACTTCCCTTTAGGGCCTACGTATTTAAATAAGAAGACACGGCTTTGACAGTAGCACAGTGACAGCTCCATCACAATGGGGGCAAAGAATAATTTATATAGCGCAAAGGAACACCCGTCTCAAGACAGCGAAATCTCGGTGGAGAGATTTCCGAATCCGAAGTACTAAACAATAAAAGATTGGCTTGGAAAAAAGACGATTAAATCGCATCGCTGTAGTGAGTAGGATAACACCAAACTAACAGAACGACCCGCTCAATCTTGAAACGTTCAGACCGTGATCATCACCCACTGAAAAATTTTGCACGGAATCTTGCTTATTCGACACATACACGTACTGAGTAGGTTGAAGATAGTAGGAGTTCCAAGCAAATTTCTATGTTATTTAAGACGATAAGTTGTAAATACGCATAGACGGCGCTGCTCTTAAGAAAATGTACTTTCTTCTTATATATCTTCTCTACTAACATCAAGCCAAAAGCTTCATGTTATAACAAATGTATTCAACTAGAACTATACAATAATGATTGCACGAACTTGACGTTTATGCAGATGATTCGAGAATCTTCAAAACAAACTGTTCAGTCTCAAAAAAAAGGTTGTCATATACGTTATTATATATATTATCAAACCAAATAATTCTAACCTATAACCGGAAAATATACGTTTTACACGTAACTCTCCATCTCTCGTTCGGTGTTTTATCGCAGTAATATTTACAGCTTATCATTTTTATATATTATTTATTATATTATATATATATATGTATATATATTGTAATTTTCGCAGATCACGCAAACCAACCTTAGTTTAGACACAGTACTGTCGCAGCCATGACGACTCACAGGGCGGCCTTTAAAGAAAAAAAAAAACAGTTTTTTGAGCCAAAATAAAAATCAGTGAGCATTTATATTTTGGAACAATTGAATATGCGTCTTTTTGATCATTGACCTTCTGCCATTTTTCCAGTAGCGCCACGAGCTATCACTGTAGAACTTCTGTGTTTCCTCAAGGAAAAATCGTGACGACAAGGGATCTTTACATCCCTTTTTATTAAAGGTGAATTAACACTATGAAAAAAGTTCTGCAAAAATTGAAACAAATGGTAGTGTGATGGTGCCATATTCGAGTTGTATATAGATTTTTTTTTATAAAATTTCTGATTGTCTGGTAGCTCAAGGTGTCTGTGGTCTGGCTTTATCATGCTGGAAAACAATGCCCCTCCTATTTACCAATTCCGGCCAATTTTTTTCTAATAGCTTGTTATAATCTCATCAGTTTTTGACGGTAGAAATCCGAATCAACCATTTTTCCATGCATGATTTTTTTCCAATCACATAGCATCACTTTTTTTGGCGTCAGGCTAGGTTTTTTCTTCCTGGCACAACTTGTGAATTATTCGCACGTGACAGTCGCATCTTATCTGCCTTTCATCACCCATGATCAAAGCAATAAACTATCACGCTGCGTTTCTGTAGAGCTTTGTATATGAAAGTACAATGATGTCAACGATTTTGCGACAGTCCGTTTGTCTACTCATACGTCGGGTTTGCTCAACTTCGTCAGCTTCTTTCGTAGTTGGCCACCACTACGGGGCTATGCGTATCTTTCGTATCGACACGAACGCGATAGAACCATCCCTTTTCAACACACATTTTTTTCTGGGCAGCGTTTATGCCTGGATGGTAACAAAAAATAGCGAGTTGTTGGAAAAAATTTCACTCATGTTCAAAGCGCTATATCTCAAATATTAATAACGGCAACATTTGCAACAATTATAACACATCCGTTGCAGCCATATCTTAACCTTGAAATGCGTCAATCCGACTGGTATTATCTGAGATATATATGACTGAAAAGCCATAAAACTGTCAATATTTGTTTATATAAGCTGAACAGGAGTGCACCCACGAACGGTTTGGCAGGACATTTTTCTACATACAGCGTTTACCAAATTGAAGCATCCTCAAGTACAGCTTATGAAACATTTTTTATCGCTTGGTAGGGTAAGTTTTCCGCTTTAAAGCAGTAGAAAGGAAAAAGGTGAATACTAAAGACATGTCATTTCTTGGATTGTCGTTCAATCTACCCATTAAACTTTCTGGAGGCACAAATATTTAGCATAAAGCTTAGTACTGAACTATTTTGCAGAAGACTTACAACTAAGAGAAGCAAATTATGCCACAGAAGAGCCTCTAAATAAAATGTCGTTTTTTAATTTTGAATTCTGATTTCTTTTCTATTGTCAATGTACAATTGCCCCAATGCGCTTTCTCTATGGGAAACCGTTCAGTATAGATTTGATACGTTTTATAACGTCACCGTCCCCCATATTTTGGAGCTTTTAGGTGACTCACAAACAGCATGCCGATCAGCGAAATTCAGGGTTTTAAAATCTCAAAATCAGGGATCTTTTATGGCTATCTGCTGTCAACATATTCTGTGTTCTATGCGCGATAGTAATAATCATTGTTTTTTTAATTTAAATGAAAGTGACGAGGTACTAACAGCCAATTGCCCTATGATTATCTGAACAATGTGGTCTTGCCAAATTTGCCAGAGGGCCAAAAAAATATTGGAAATGATCGGCAACAATCTGCTGAGTAATCTTACTTAAACTACGCGATTCAATTAATATATTGCGAACAGCATTTTGCAGTATTGTATACGATGTATGTATGGTACGCGATGCAACTTAACAAATGCCCTATTTAGCCCACCCAGTCAAAGCGGTTCGCCCCTAAACATTTGTCATTTTTTAAATCGGTAATTTTATTTAGAGGTTATTATTTGCGCTGTTATGTATTGTGCATGAGGAACAAGCGCTTTGGACGCTTCTCAATGGCTGCGTGTTAAGACACGCTGCGACAGGTTATAGTTTGTACTATTTTGTAGCTTTCAGAGGAGCTTCGGTCTAATGGTAGACGTGAAGTCATTTGTAAATGCTGGCCCTTATAAATTAAAGCTCTTTTTTTGGTGAGCTTTTAGTGCCATACATGAATCTCATTCTGACATTTCGATAGTCGTTTGTTAACGTAACTATGTTTATATACAGCGCAGAAAGCTTGAGTCAGACATCGGTATTTTAATCCCCCTGTGGTCTTTCGGCTTCATGATGTTCGTAGCGTACAACTAAGGTGCTCTCTTATGATGAGAGATGTGTTTGATGGAAACTCTTTCTCTTGACTTATGGGATTTCAACTTTTCTTTTGGCGCTCAGAAACACACAATCTATTTGGATTTAATGTATTTATTTTTCTTTGTTTAACCGTGTAATATTGCCTGGCCTTATATAATAATGCCTATACACGCTTGCCAGTTCATTTCTGCTCTTAAATAACTGTAACTTTCGACACTATACAGCTAGCGCTGCTTTTATTTATATAGCCGATTTGTTGCTCTATTAGTAAATTGCCTGTCATAATTTTCAGTTTTTGCAATTGCCTATTTTTATGGTTAGTCTGGTGTTTTTGGATTAGAAATCTTTGAGTTTGTCTTTATGGTTTATGGAATAATGTTTTAGGAATTCCTCTTAACCTTTGCGAGCTGATTTACCAAGTTTCTGTCACCAAGCTTTTGTCAGCATCGAATAGTCTCATATATCTGATTTTCCCCTTTAAGGTCTTTGTTAGGATTTAACTAAGTAGATCTGTGACCAAAGCTTCTGTGTGTGGGTCGTCTACCAGTTCCTCTATATAACCATACTTAGCTCGTAGCTCCTAAGTAGTAGATAGTCTAAAACAGCATTTTTTAGAATTACTTCGTATTTTCGTTGGCGTATTTTTTGTTGGCTGTTTTCTAGGGCATCTAAATGGATGTGGAGGCCTGACCCGTGATTTTACGTTTTCGAGATGGACGAGGCAAGTATAGGTATAATAACCTCATCAGAGTTTTTTCAGTTTTGTAAGGTTTTCTAAACACTAACTGCCTAAAACGTATAGATTATTAGAATTTTTATTATTATTATAATTAGAAGCTGTTTGTCAACGTTACACAACATCGTACCTAAATCCATATATTTAACTTATCGTACTTAATGTATGAAGCTTTCTCACCGACGCGGACTACGCTACGTGTGTAGCTAAACAGAAAACGTATCGCTCGTTGATGAGCTTCAGAAGTTTTTAAAAGAAAGACATCACAACTTATTTGACCTTTTCTATATGCAGCACGGTCTCTCTACTAAAAACTCGAGTCCAGACTTAGCCCCAACTGAGTCCTGCATAGAGCTTCGATTACCCTATAATTAGTTCGCGTCAAGACTCGTTATTTATCGGTTCAATTAGGTGCATAGGGCCTGGTTTCTCTCCGGCTGTGACGAGATTTGTTGCCGAAAAAGCAAGTAGTAAGTCTGAAAAAACCAGAAGTCGTAAGTAATGCTGACACAACTAGTGGCTATAAGTTTTCATTTCAACAGCGAAAATATGAAACATGAAACAATGGCAGCGTTGAGACAGGCACAATGGATCAGAAATGCAAATAAGATAATCTTGGCTAAAACGAAATCCTGAGCAATACAGCCGGTCGTAAAATGGAACGCATACTTGACAAATCCCCTGTTAACTTATACACTACCTTTCTTCTGTGCACGCATATACGCCCACACACAACATGGACCTAACGTTTAAGGCCTGTTTATTACGCTTGTAGCAGTACGATCGTAATCCAGATTTGCCTTTAAACTAGACCACATGGGTAGTCGGGCATGAATGTGAGCTAATCGTAAACGACGTTTGGCCTCTCTTTTGTATTTAGTTAAAATTATACAGAGCACAGCGGTCATCTTGTATATTGTCGATAGCAGTAGTTAGACAAGAAGATGGTTCCATGCGTTCATATCATGTCAATGGTAACTTTCTTGATTCCTATTTTGTCCAATGGTTCTTACTCGCAGCTAGTTTTCAACTCCTACACCCAGTATCACTGCCAAGTATCAACCTTGATGTGCTGCTCCGTTTCATTGATTGTCGGTTATCCTACCCATTGCATCAACAACAGAGATGAACCCACAATTTCTCTGCGTCTGGTAGACCGGAAGAGGCGCAAGACGTGTTGTTTGTTCCACTAGTTACGGCTGCGGCCACGTAGATATTCTTTCATACATGTTAGTGAGTACGCTTTGCATACTTCCCAGAGTGTTTTTCGCCCTGTATAGTAACAACGACATACAGCGTGTAAGCTGGATCAGAAGTTTAAATTTTTTAACTATATGTCCTTATTACTGGACGGGTCTTCGACGTAATCTCCCCATTGGACATCGTTCCTATGCATTCGAGTTTCGTTTATTAAGCTTCGGAAACCACATTTAAAGCTCTCCGTACCTCACAGTGAGTTCTTATCAACGGACAAAGGTCGTTTAGCGCTAAAGCTAGCTTCATTATTATAATCTGCAGGCGTTAAACACAAAAGTACGTAGCGATGACGTGTACTTTTCCGTCACCAATGCATGCGTCGTTGTGGGCTTTTGTTAATGGATTCACAAATAATGTCCAGCCTAGCGTTCTGTCTTTTAGACGGAAGTCTTGATTAGGGACAGCCTCCACGAAGATATACAGCTTCCCAATCGAACTTAGAATATTTACATACAACGCACAATTCCGAAAAAACAACCAGGGTCTATACCCCCTAGATTTCAAATACATTTTAAGTTCTTTTCTTCAAAAAGACCTTAAGGGGTGAACAGACAAGTTTAACCGAATTCCGTCAATAATTATTTTGACATCTAGGAATTGCGAAACCGCTGTCGCTGCTCTGACTGCATACGGGCGGTTAATTAAATTCGAAATCTCTAAATAAATCAAAAGATTGAAACATATTTTTTCAAATTAGATAAACTAAGGCCGCTGCTTAGTTAGTGAAAGTTGCTCATGGAATAGCAACGAAATCAATGAAAGTTGAAAGGGGCAAGTTAAGAATTATTTTGAGGACACCATTTACCACTCAGGGCTTACTTGACAGTTTATCTATAAAAATGTTTCCTAATAAGTAATATCGATTCAGGGTTGAAAAATAACCAGTTTATTTGAAGGAGTGTTACAGTGGTCTGGAAAGCACTTGTATTACTGATGACTTTAAAGATCTTATGACTCTGCCAAGTTTATTTGTGAAACAGTCAAACCTCTTTACGGGTCCACAAGTACCATTAAAAGCACCAAGAAAGATACGCACCGCACACCTGAAACTTATCTAAAGTAGCATTGTATAAAAGGCAATTTTAAATCCTATAAAGTCTTGCCCGAAGAAAAACTTCCATTTAGCCGTACTACAGGTTTGACAGTAGCTTAGTTGGCGGCGTCGTGCTCCGTGACGCTGATTTTGTAGATTGAAGAAGCAGGTCATTTATAAAGAAGAGAATAAAGAATATTAAAAACTATACATATATTCTGCAAACCACGATCGGGAGAATGTATAATACCTGTAATGAACATTTGCGATCGGCAAAAATATTGCAAGAAAAACTGCAAAGCTATACGTCAACAGGCACTTTAGCTAAAAATAGGAATTCCCATGAAGTGTCAAGTGTTATATTGCTATATCCGCGCACTGAAGCTAAATTCTTCAAACGTCTGCTCATGACTGATCCTCGAGTTTCAACAAATATCAAGCAAGCGTCAGAGGGAAAGTGACATTTTGACAGATCCATTACTACCCTCCGACACAGTTGTCTTTTGCTGATCTGACTGATGAATGAGCCAGCTTGCGTGGCAGCATTCGAGTAGCATTTGTACTAAATTGATTCGCTAGATACAGTCACGCCGACTTACTTAACCACAAAATGTTATGTCTAATATCTCCGAAAGCACCGCTGCGTTGGGTATTCTCTATTTTCATAAGAGAAGGAAGAAACGATATAATTATCCCGTTTTATAACGACGTAATCACGCGTCTATATTCAAATTTAGCAGATCAAACAGATTCAAATGAAATGTTCATCACAAATTTCTAGGGAAACAGAAATAACGGTTGCAACTGACGGGATCTCGTCTATAGCCTGCTTGATCGACCGAACTTGATAATATTGTCGTTACGGTGTTAGATCCGTTGAAGGTGATAGGGAAGGCCGCAAGCCGGACAAGAGTGATCGTTGGTCAAGTGTCTGTGTCTGGCCTACTATGACTACTGGTCTATCAATGATGGATAGTTTCGGCTTCAGCCATGCCATATTTCCTCGTATTCCCAGCTTCATTTCTTCTAAGGCTTGAGGACAAGAACTGGTTTACTTAAGGCTACCTTAAATGGACATGTCCTGCAAATCGGTTATAGCTAATAACCGTTTCATATATGAGTAATGATATATGATTCGAAATCCTTTAGGCACATAGGAGAAGTTCTACGTTGTGTCTCTTAATTTCAACTGAACCTGTGAAAGCGAGATAATAAAATAATTCTAAAAAAAATGTTTTTCAAGATGAAAAATGCGCTGAAACTTCATCAATCTTTTTCTTTAGCCAGCGGCGTGCCAGTGTTCAAAAGAACCTTAGCATAGTTTCGAACCGACCGCTGCCCGTCCGGGCGGCGAAGGGACAAATGATATGCTGTCTTGCTGAAATGAACTCCCGGGAAAGTGTGAGTTTTCGTAGCGCAGTCTTGACCACGGTCCTCTCGGGAAAGTGTCGCGCTGATCATCCATCTCGACGGTGCTTAGCTGTCTTTCCGCGACGGTTTCTTCTCGTATACCTCAACCTAGTCTTTCGAATAAAGTATAGAATGCGTAAGCTCGACTCAAGAGTGTCGGTTTACCTTATAAGAAGAACAAAGAATAGAAAAACGGCTACCAACATACCTTCATTTAAAATAGAAGTTAGTTATTTCACTAGTGTTAGGAAGTTACCATAAGAGGATACCGAAAACTATTTTAATCATACTGTAAACATAACGCTTTGTTATTTCGCAAAAAATGACGAATTAAACCATCGTATTACGCCCATGGAACCCGAAAGTTTCTTAAAATAAGCTTTTCGCGTACATTTCTGGCAGGTGCTTAAGGTAATACCAAACAGCGATATCTGTGGTAGAATGAAGAGCTGAAGGCCAGCACCTTGTAGGTGCCATTGTTTAATTTTTGGTCTTAAAATCACTTTAATATTGAATTTTTGTTTTTAAATAGTCCGTTCGCCATGAGAAAGTTAACAACACAGATATTAGCGAAGAAATTGTCATTGACAAAAAGCAGACATCGACACACTTGCGAGCTGTGGTATGTTGAACGAACCGAAACATATATAATTGATTAATTAGAGTTCGGGCCAGAACAATATGATTTATATACTGCCATTAATGAAAAATAAAATCATGAGATTGTTTAACTAAGTGATTTTTAAAATCCTTAACGGAGCGAACCACCGGTTGTTCTGACATCATATTGAGACCTTTTCAAATGGATTTTTAAATAGTCCTTTTCAAAAATTTATAGAAGCATACTATTTGCGTGTCGGTCAATCTAAAGTAGTGAAAAGACTGGTGGATATATCGTTAGGAGCCCTATAGGACGTAACGGAAATTACATACTTATGACTATTTTTTAAAGCGTTACACTTTGCCTCAGACACGCTCATATATCTATATATCTATGTAACGAAGGATACTACCAATACTAATTTCGAACCGAGGAAGAGGCTTGGAGGGGCTATTAGGCCATTAGTTAGAGAATCGAGCGCCATACTTTGCGATGCTATTATTTTCTATTAACTCTTAAGTCCAACAAATTCTATAAAACCCTTTGTAGAAGCTTAGCCGTTGCCAACTTCATTTACGACTATGCGATCTAATAACCATATAGGCCTAGGTCGTATTCAATATAAGGTTTGAAACGTATATCGATCAACCACGGGGTGTGGCGTCGAACGTGACACAATAAATTTGATGTCTCTCGTAAGCCTTTGAAAAGTGCAGGTGAGAGATTTCTAAATGGAGCCAACGCTGAAAACATTTTGACATTCCAGAGAGGACAAGTTTTTTTTCAAAAGGACAAACAAAGCCTGGTGCAGCTATAATGAAAATAGACGAAATAAAATAAAAAATATTTTCTATACAAATATACAAGAAAGCTAAAGTGTGTCTGCAGTTTTGAAAATACCTTGGCCGTCAGTTGTTTGCATACAATTAGCATGTACAAGTAACGACAATTTGAATGCGTTTATTATCTTAGAGCAGTGGCGTGGCAATACCAGTTACTTACAGTCGTATAACAGATTATAAATGGTCCATATTATTATTATTATGGTCATAATATATCTTCGTGTACTTCCACTTCATCGAACACAGATTTCCTTACGTTTGTATTTGATAATTGCTTTTTTTTTTTTTTTTTTTATAAGACGTCAAGTACGATATGTTTATTCGGCTTCGTATTCGACTAAATACCCTTTAATCGAGAGGGGATCAAGGAACATAGAGCATACTTTGTTCCTTGTCATGGTACTCGGAATAATATCTTCTATAGCAAAAATAACATCGTTGCTTCGTCGTAAACCCGACACAGTTTTAGTTAGGCTCGGCAGCTGTTATAATGAATCTTCAATTCAAGGCGCCTTGTCTCAAGGATGCGTTAAACAATACAAGACTCATCGCTATTTATGTTATATAGAACTAGAGTGGAGATTGAGAACAAGCATTTATGAACCGAGACAGAGCAAGGAGCTACATGAAACTACTGGCACTATTTGTCAATACAATTCGACCTAGCTAGATACACATTTATCATCGTTCATTAAGATGTTTTTACGATAAATTTACTAGTTATGTATAAAAATATAAAATTATACGCATGTAAAAAAGTGAATTGGAAACGCAAAATTTGTTAGACTGTTTTTAGACATTCAATGGGGCTACTCGACTTTTGTATCACCTTTTAATTACAATTGTCATCAAGTGGCTGGCTTACCATGTCAATAAGTCGACTATATGTACTTATGTTTAAAGGTTACTAAATCGTTTGACGATGACACCACTGGATGATTGATAGGGATCTAGGATTGTTGTGGCTAAAAGGCAGTTCGAGCTTTCCAGCGATACTGAGTAAGTTTACGCATTGAGTGACTCGAGTTCTTCGACTTTTTCAAACAAGAACAACGAGCGCACATAAGGTTTTGTGTAGGGAAAAAGTCAACCCCATGGACAATGTGCAGGTGTTACAGAATGCTTACGAAAACCAGACATTGAGTAACGCTTAAGTAAGTAAATGTTTCAAGCGTTTCGAAGTCGAACGGGAATCTATACAGGATCTAGACAGAGATTCTAAAAGGTTCTTGTCAGCGATCTCGAACAAGAATGTGGATAAGTTAAAAAAAAACTTGTGTTTACTAACCGCTATACGAGAGAATTACGATAAGGGAACTAACGAAAGAAATCGATTTTAGTTTGCTGATGTCAGACTATTTTGACATACTTTTTGGGTGTTACAAGACTTAAACAGAATTTTTACTGAAACAGCTGAATGTTCTGGATATGAACAATTTTCGGCGTTTCTAGAAGAGTCAAGTTCGCCTGGGGACGTTATTACGGATTACGACCCGTGGATGTACGGCAATTTCGAGGAGACCAAAACGAAATATTTTATAAACGAACCCCGACCGAAAAAGGGGTCAGGATTTAGATTCAAAACAAGATTGCTCGTCACGTTTTTTTTTATTTTTAAGTCATTCATTTTTCATCCGACCTCATAGTCACCGAGGAGGACTATTGCGAAGTTTCAAAATTGCGTAACTTTGTTTAACGCAGGAGACCAGAACTGTGGAGCAACAAGTTTCGGGTTCTCCATTAAAACAGTGCACTGGCCCATACTTTCAACTCATTTTTGCAGAAAAAACTCGGTGTGTGTAGCCTAATCCTTATAGTTTCCGGATTTAACTCCCTGCGACCATTTCCGATTGTGAAAACGGATGACAAATCAGAAAACAAAGCGATTTGGGTAAACATCATCGTCAGTCATAGAAAGTGTTTCGTCTAGACATCTGTTTGTGTTTAAGTACAGTCTTAGAAATAATTAATAAGAAAAAGTTATAATTTAGACGGTGAACTCTGTGTATAACAAGGCATGGATGTAAGAAGGAACTCTGTGCTCAAATGTTATTATCCATCTCCGAGTATTTACCCGATTTCATTGCTTTTCTACATGAATATCCATTAACTTGTATATTAGCTCTATGCCTCCAATAAGCTTACGTTTTGCCACTTCGGCTTCAGCTGTACGCTTTTTTTAATTGTAAGCTTAATCAAGTTTTCTCTCTCGCAAATGCTAGGTTCTTTTCGAAAAAAAAATTCAATTAACGTTGCTTGAGAGCTTCCGTATCTCTAACGTTAAAGCCATACAACCTTTCGGTATTCATTTGAGATTATCTTCATGTTAGTCGAGGGAAAACACGCCTCTTATGCTGTTGAAGATAAGAAAGGAAAACGAGCTTTCTAGTACATAACTGAAGCTAATACTATAAGTCCGTACATTTCTGGCTATTTTATTAACCGTGCCTGTTGTTTTTACTCAGTTCGTACCTATGGTGTTGCAACAATGATTTGGGGATTTGGCTGTGGGGAAAAATGCCCTGCATTAGGGAAGGGGTTTTCGCTCGGAACAATTCCTTGTACAGTTTTGATTATATCGTGTATATGGCCGATTTTTTCTTTGCACATAAACGAAGACGGTACATTTGGGGGCATCATCATGTTAAAATATACCTGGTGAAGGAAATCATCAATATTCTATTTAGGCTTTGTAGTGATTGCCTGCAAGACGCGCTATGCGCTTGTATTATTTGTGTAGCTGATCCTTCCAAATTGACTCAAATGAATCCGCTAGACCTTTACTCGGTGACTAATAAAATTGTTGTAAAACGTACTTCACATTTTTTTTGGTGTTACTAATAAATTCGTATGAACACATATATGTGCTAGTAATCTTGTTGTGTGATATAATTCAACCGTTTAGCTTGAAGTTGGCACTTTACTAAATGGACGTACTCGTCTTCGAAGATGAAGTACTGGTATCGAGCGTACGAAAATTCACCTTTCGTAATGCCTTCTTCTCCTTGAAAGATTTGAATTGGGTAGCGCAAACTCAAAAGCCTAACGAGATATCGGGAAACAGGATAAAGTCGGCTTGAAACGAAACGCAACGGTAGTGAGAACCGACTGCAGCGTAAAAACTCACGGGAGCAGAAGTGGACAAACGATCTTAGCCGTACCCATAAAGCGAAGACTACGGCTTTTCGCGGGGAAAACTCAGTAAACTTTTTGTACCTCGAAGCTAGACAACTTTCTATTAAAGTTTACCAGCAAAACGAACACCGTAATGTTGGGTGTGAAACCTTCTACAGAACGCTTGCATTATAATCGTTTATAAATTATGGGGATTAGATGTAAGTTACCGTACAATGATTATTTGAACTGTAAATTTAAAGTTATACCGTTGGAATAATGTTCAAAAGATTCTGACGGGTT